CCCCAAAACCCCAAAACCCCAAAACCCCAAAACCCCAGTTTGTCATTTAATAGCTAGCAGTAGGTGACAATATGATTATAAGCTTAGAATATGTTTAGCTTATAATTATATTTCTAATAGCAAAGAGTAGTAATGTAGAGTAAAGAGGCCATAGACACAACAAATTCTAATAATATCATGTAAAACTAAGCTGATTGTATTCGAGCTCCCCTTGTGGGAGGGAACGAAAAAGGATTAGATCTTGAAAGCGATCAAAGTCCTCATGGTGCTCCTAAAGATGGAGAAGAGGAGTAAGTTAAAAGATCACTATACGGGTACGGGTTAATGCTTGGGTTTGTTTGCATTAACGCCTTGGCTGATTCCATTTCAAAAATTCTCTTCATCAATCATAGTAATTTGGGTGTTTTTGAAATGCTCCTAATGAGAGGAACCTATTTCCTTGTAATTCTAGTTTTTATTGTTGGCAAAAACTACAAGTGGATCTTGTGGGAATCTATTCCAAGAAATATGATCTTCCCATTATTGGTACGAGTTACCTGTGGATGCTTAGGATTTTTGTGTATCAATTAAGCAATCAAGCATTTGCCTATTGTTCTGGTAGCACTCTTTGTAAACACTCTTCCCTTGTTCACTTCTTTGCTTGGATTTCTTATTTTGCGTGAGAAAATCACAAAGATGGAAGTCTTTTGTTTGGTACTCGCATTTTTAGGAATATACACTCTGGTCTCTGGAAGTGAGAGATTGTAAAACAGTGAAGAAGATGTGAAATCCAATATTAATTCTTGGAGTTTATTGATGCTGATATTGGCACCCATATTTATGGCATCGATAAATGTCAGCTTGAGACATATGAGACAGCTCCATGAACTAACTGCATCTACTTACGCAGTATTATTCTCCATTGTTTTCTACAGTACTTTGATGTCTTTTACTGATAATGATTTCTCTATGTTCGACACATTTTTGGTTCATGAACACTTTTTATTGCTATTTATTTCTCTTGCTGGTGGTACTGGTATGCTTCTTAAGACAAGAGCTCTTTAACATGAAATGGCTGGTAGACTGAGCATTCTTGGATACTTTTCTATTGTATTCACTTTCTTTTTCGATCTGATCTTTATCGGGACCAAGTTCAGTATTGGAGAGATCTATGGTATTCTTATTGTACTCGCGGCAAATGTTCTCTCAGCTTATATGGTGTTTCATAAGAATTTTCTTTAAAAAAAAGATAAACCTGTTGAAGAAAAAGTTATTCAAAAGTCTGAAAAAGATTCTAATTGATATATGTTATTGCTTTATAGTACCGGCTTCAATAAGATTAAAGTTTGAATAGATGATAGAAATATAGTTATATTAACTGCTCACTCTTCAGGTGTTTTAATTAGTTTGAAAATAAGAAATATGTTAACCATAAACACTATTATGATCCCTAATAATTCTTATAGCTGAAATCGGTAGTCAAAAAGTAGTATATCAAATATCAACTAAATCAATGATTGTAGGTAGTTGTAGATTGTCACTCGAGATGCAGTGTCATACTAGACAGCCATCTGCTTTAATAATTAGTGTGATAATGCAAATAAGCCAGAGCTAGTTAGTATGAAGTAATCTTAATATGTGAATTTTTAGAGAAATTTCATTTAATCCTAGGTACTCAAGATTATTAAGCCCATAACTGTACTTAACACAAAAGCATTATAGAATGCTTGAGTATGAATGCTAATGCCTCTTAAATTTCTGAGAGTAATGGACACAAGTGAGGAAAAGATAGGGTTAAGACACAGAGCAAGAACTGGCGCAACTGAATAATACTTTGAATTTCTCAATAAATAAGTGTCTTTTCCTGTTATCATTACAGTTACTCCTATGAATGATAGAACTAAACATATCTTTTCTAAAGTCCTTAGTTCCTCTCTTAATATAATGTATCCAAAAATTGCTGTAAATAAAGGCATTGTATTCATTACAAGAGATACAAGAACCAAAGGTAATGCTTTAATAGCCATAATCTGGCATACAAGAGCAAAAAAACCAAGCACTACTCTTATACTTAGTTAATTAAAATCATTTTTTTTTAGACTATCATATGCGTAGAACTTAAACCAGGTATTTAACCAGACTAATTAAATTAGAATCTATATTGAGCATCAAAGGAAAATATAATGATGTTCGTCCATTTCTGAGTGTTAGTTAAAGAGAGTTTTTGCAAAAACTTGAGTTAAAACTAGACCAAGGATACTTGTCATCTGTATTAATGCTCCTTATATTTGTTATTTTTTTGTTATTACTTCTTATATGATATCATGAGATTTGTTTTTAAGCTACTCATCAGCATAAATTCCCTCCTCAAAATGCTTCTTCTTGCATAATGGTACCATTTCATCTTTCTCTAAATCCATTTAAAATTAAGTCGTTAAATTAATGCAATAAAAATTTATTTAAAATAATCTGATTCATTTGATTGTTTACACATTATTTAAATGTAAATATTAGTCTTGGGGTTTTGGGGTTTTGGGG